CAAAGAGTTGTCATAGCATAAACATGATCGTCATGTAGACTTATGATATTGGATACATAAGTGATGGATCTAGTGCAAGTGGGAGTTTGTAAGTATTATGCCCTAAGTCCAATCAACTTTGGACATAAATACTTTTGATATATAATTAATGTAATTTAATGGCAGATCTATTATTTAATTAATAGACAATTAAATAAATAATAGAGTCCGTAGATTCAAATCTTCGTAATTTGTTAATCACAAAGAGTTGTGATTGTGAGATACAGATTACATTTGATTGAATCTTAAATCGTCCGTGGTCGTAAGTAATAACGAGATACGAATATCGTTATTATGAATGGACCATCACATGTGGCATTTCTTACTTGTGAAGTAAGTAGCTAATCTCACAAGTTAAAGTGTGGTAACACTTAAATGAACACGTGGATGTTTTGTTATAGTACAAAACATTGGAGACCCGTCGAGAGATTTCACATGGATAACTATCTGAGTGTCAGTGGTTAATCTCTAATATTCGATTGTGGAATTGGTCATTTGACTTGAGGTCGTCATGGTACCTTATATGAGGACAGTCATACTTTGACGGTGTTGGATGTTGCTCTACAAAGGGCTGCTAATATGACATCGTTCGGGTACGTCAAGAATCGTATGAAGGTTGTGATTGATCAATAAAGGATTCGTCACTCTTAGATAGTAGGAGATTATAATATGCGTTTCATTCAATTAAGTCGATGATGAAATCCTTAGCCAATGTGTATTCATAAGTCGAAAAGGAGTTTTCGACTTATATTGACTTAAAGTGGAATGAAAGATATGATTGATAATCGAGATTGACATACTTCCATATCTCGTAATTGATTAAATCATATTGACGAAATGATTATAGTTTCACGGAAACGAAGGAGTTTGGTTGTCATACCACGTGACATTTTCCGTCACATGTATTGCCCTGATACATTGTTAGATGTTAATTTGGGACGGCGAGTATGAACTGATGATAAATTAAAAGAGTGTTTTTATTTATCAATTTTGATTAGATTAAAATAATATTTCATGTCGTTAGGCATCATGATCGGGAACCTGATGGGTCACACACAAAAGAGAATTGGAAGATTGCAATTTATCAATTAATTAATTTAACAATCGTTGGATAAATTAATTAATTTGGTTGATTATTTATAAGCCCGAATTAATTAATTGGATTAATTAATTCATGGACCGAATTTAATTAAATGATTTAATTAAATATTGGATCGGACCGGGAGAGGCCAGGCCCGTTTGGGCTTATATAAATACTAGGCTAGGGTTTTCAATTCAGATGGTTTTCTTTTCATAATTATTCTTGCTAACACAATCGGAGAAAACCTTGGTAGCTGCAATCTTATTCTCTGTGTTGATCACCGTTGAAAGCTGGACAATTGGACAGTTGTGGGTGGCGAATCAAGATTGTTGGAATGAAAAGAAAAGCAAAATGTTGCAAAATTTTTCAAAGGTACAATCTTTATCATGATTTCTATCTAAACACAAAGGGATCTTCGGTGGAAATCGAAATAATTTTAATTTTTCGCTGTGCGTGTATAAGTAGATTCCCAGCAGTTTTGATGTTTCAAATTTATGCATACACTGGTTCACTGAGAACTTTGAAAAGTTTATCCCAGAATCATTACCCTCCAACAATGAGCTACCATTTTCATTTGTATTTGGTCCTAATATGGCAACGAACAATGCTTGTCCAAAAATCTTAAAGTGACCACTACTCGTGTAATTTCTTCTCATATTTGTATGTATTGGGATTAATGTGTGTAACTATTTGCTACTCAAGGATCTCCATTGAATCAACTCTCTGTCTTATTTCAGGACTATTTCCAAGATAGATTATTAAGATTTGATGTTTTGGAGGAAAGAGGGGTTTATTAATTTGGATTAGCTAAGGTCTTTAAGGAGGACAACATTAATAGGAAGGAGGAGGTGAGCAAAAGGAAACTTGTCTTTCTCAACTCCAAAACTTACGCACTTGACTTGTTACAAAATGAAGGATCATATCCCTTTATATAATGTTTACAAGAAACTTCTAGTCCACAAAATTTTCTAGAGACTCCTAGATCACATATTTACATGAGACTTTTAGATCACACATTTGGACAAGATATTTTCCTAGAATAATCTAGATAGACTTTATAAGACCACATATTCTTCTTGATACATCATCACGTATTTTACTTAGATATTTATATATATTTTTCTAGTAGATATTTATATAGATTTTTCTAAATAATGTTTCTAGAAATGCTAGGCATGTTGGGCTTTTTAATTGATTTGGGTCTATGAGCAAAATCCTTAAGCTCATATTATTTAGTCCAAAAATCAAGTTTACTACTCAACATACTGTACATTGTGAGAGTGGTGGATTATATTATTTATACTTATTATGTTAACCAATAATCTACCATAATCACCCTTTTTTTTTTCCAACACAAACTTCTTTAACTCGAGAGTTTTAGACCATTAAAGTATCGACCAAGCCTTAAAAAGGGAAAAATTCAAAAATCATTTATCAGAGATTGATTAGACCTCATTTCATTAAGCTATCAATTCAGTAAACTATATGGTGCTTTTTGTACATTAAAACTTGTTTGCAATTGCATGAAAAACAACCGTTTCAAATGGGAACTCATTTTATTGCTCCTTCACTTTGTTTTCAGAATGACAATGAAGAAGGTGTATAATATAATTAAGTCATGTCGACCTCCAAAGCTTGAACGAATTATAAATGTCCACTATATTAGTATATTTTTATAAGCAAGCATGGAATACATAAAAAAAAAAAGTATCAAAAAGAAGAAAAATCTACAAAATATACGATTTATACAGAACATAATTACATTTCTTTCGTATACTATGTTTTATAAATATACATGTATAAATACAACATTATAAAAATTGAAAAGTAAAAAAATACATATAATTGAGAAAAAATTTCAAAACTTCTTCATTCTTCAATTGATGTTTTTTGTGTGTGAGAGATTTATAGAATTATTATTTTCGTTTCCTAAACTTTTAACACCAAATAAGTAAAAAACGATTTTAGTAAGTTAATTTAAAATATTAATGTTGACACATAAAAATTCAGCCCAAATCGAACAACCTAGAGAATAAAGCCCAATTGGAGGATCCCCAAATCAGATAGCCCAAAGAACGAAATCCAATTGAACGAATCAAGGTGAATGCCCAAATAAGGGGCCCAATAGTGCGGTAACGCCATCGTCCAAGTTTGCAAGTCGCTCAGAGTCTGAACGAATAGAGTGGCATACGGTCGTCCAAAATCTCGCCCAAATCTTCAAGTCGCCCAAGGTATCAACAAACATAACGCATTATGATGCAGTTATTGAGGCAGTTGCTAAAGTAACTTTATCACGTTCCACGACTCAAGGGGTTCAATCGAAAGCGGTTGAACGATGCAAGATAATGGCAGCAGTTAAAAGGACAGTTGCATGACAAAATGGCCACTACAAAGAAAGTGGGTAGTTATAGGGCGATCAAGCAGTTTTTTAGAGCAGTTAATTACAAAGGGATCGCCTATGAAGTATAAAAGGGAGAAAGAACTTAGAAGCAAAGGACCGAATCCAAAACTCTCGAACAGAGTACGTAATTTTCATTCCTTTAACTTTTAGACTTAAACATTTCCTTTTCTGTAACTCGTGTGCTTGCGCCCCTTGGAGACACGTTGTNGACTTTGTCTCAAGAGGTTTCGTCCCTTACACAATCGTCTGATCCTCTTTAATTGTTAGCGAATTAACCCGCGCGAAACAATTAAAAAGTACAGAAAATACTTCATTTGACTCTTCCAATATTGTAAAAACAATCAAGAATTCTTAATTGATGTCTTTTAATTAGTATTAATTAAAAACAATCAAGTATGTACGTGTGTGTGTGTGTATATATTTTGTAAACAATGAAAATGGAATTTTTGTAAATGATGGAGTAAAAGAATCGGCTGAATGTAAATTTATGTAGAGATAGATATATAATAAGAAAAAAATAATTTCTTAAATGAAAATGAAATAGTAATTGAACTTAGTGAATAAAAAATAGTTAAAATTTTAGTATGTAAAGTGTTGTATTGTGTATCATAACGGTTGTAATTTGTTATTTTCGATTATGAGTATTGTAGATTATAACTATTTCCAATGATACATTTGTAATTTTCTTCAGCAAAAGTTATTTTTTGTTATAATAATTATATTCACCCCCACAACTTTTTTCAAAAGCAACACATTTTGATTGCAATGACTGTCTCAAACGTTTGCTCAATTTCGCATTTCTGTCCCATCGTTGTATTTTTTCTTCAACATTACATTGATTAACACATCTTGTTCATAATAACGTTCAAAAAATTTATTAGGACGGAGTACAAAGACCTATTTGCCACTCATATTTTAAAATAAGAAAAATAAACAATTAAAACAAAACTTCGAAACAAATTTCCCATGCTAACAGAAGATGAAATGCTTCTTCTTCTTCTTTTTCAGTTTTCAATTTATTGTTCCAACTACAATTAAATAATGAAGTGGTTTATATTTTTTATAACCAAAAACATTAAATGAGGATATATTAAGATATTAATATATTAGCTACACTCTTAAATAAGAAACAAGACTATAATTAATTAATTTGGGACAATTGAAAAAGGAAAACATAAACGACAGAGGGAGTATGTAAAATGAAAATTTAGAAAGTATGATATATACAAAGTGTAATACATCCTACATAGAGGGTGTAATCGACGTAATAATCCTAGTTTGCTCTGACCATTTTAAGAAATTGGGCTGCAAGTAGACAATTACAATGTTGACGGCTACATATTCTATAATCACAACACATGCTTGTGATCAAGCCAGACAAAATCTTTTAGCATTGTTTCTGTAGACTTTTTTCTTTACAAAATAATACTAAATTTAGTGAAAACCAATGTCCCCTTTACTCAGTCAAGGAAAATGTCATTGTTCAGAGAATATGATATTATTATTTGTTAATTAGAATGTGGATAACTTCAAAACTGTAAACAGTTCACACATCAAGATGTGATCACTATATAAAGGATGTGGATTTTCTTTGTAGAGCACAATTTATCATACAGGTAGATGAATATGGCTACTTCTTGGCCTCATCTACTATTTGTTTTCACAATTTATACGACAATTATAAATGTAGTAGCTGACAAGAAGCATTATTATTATGATTCTGCGCCTTTCACGTTGTCTCCTCTACCAGCACTGGCACCACCACCATCTATGTCACCACCTTACTATAAGTCACCTCCGCCACCTTACATATCCCCTTCATCTCCATCACCATCATTACCACCGCTTGACTACAAGTCTTCTCCGCCACCTTACGTATACATATCCCCTACATCTCAATCACCATCATTACCACCACCTTACTATAAGTCACCTCTGGCACCTTACGTATACATATCCCCTCCACTACAACAACCATCACCATCACCATCACCATCAGTATCACTACCACCTTATGTATACAAATCCCCTCCAACACCATCTCCGTCACCTCCGCCACCTTACATATCCCCTTCATCTCCATCACCATCATTACCATCGCTTGGCTACAAATCTCCTCCGCCACCTTACGTATACATATCCCCTACATCTCAATCACCATCATTACCACCACCTTACTATAAGTCACCTTTGGCACCTTACGTATACATATCCCCTCCACTACAACAACCATCACCATCACCATCACTACCACCTTATGTATACAAATCCCCTCCAACACCATCTCCGTCACCTCCACCACCTTACTATAAGTCATCTCCGCCACCTTATGTATACATATCCCCTCCATCACCATCTTCATCACCATTGCCTCCTTATATATACAAATCTACTCCACCACCTTATTATAAGTCAACCCTGCCACCTTATGTATACATATCACCTCCATCACAGCCTCCTTACGTATACAAAACTCCACCACCACCTTATTACTCCAAATATTCACATTCGCCATCCCGCTCCCCATATCCATCTCCATCTCCCAGCCCTTCATACTAATATAAGTCTCCACAATCTCCATCCATCTTCACCCCCTTCGAATTACTATTAAGGCACCACCACCACCTTCTCCATCCCTCTGAACCCCCACTCCCTCTACCACCTTATTACTATTAAGTTCCCATATCCACATACTCAACCTCTCGCAAATAGTAGTTTTCATCAACCATTTCTCCATGTTTTACACTATTTACGTGCTTTACCATCTATTGGCTTTCTTTATTAATTAGGTTTCTCAATTGATGAATTTTATTTATATTTCGATACTCTTTCATTGTAACATGGGTTACTTTGTGCTTTATCAGGAATAAAATTATTTGGATATAAAGACGTCCATTGTGTTGGTTTTATTTCATCTCCCTCATCGAAATTCCGGATAAAAGCCGAACTTAAATAGATAGTAAATTGGCTCATAATTGTATTGTACAGGAAAAAGAATGAAAATACACAAATAGCAATGAGCAAATTCTTAGAACGATGCCACATATATAAATTTGTAATAAATATCAAAATTTGGGACATAACTATCATTTAATTATGTTATAAACATCAAAGTTTACTTAAATGAAATAACCACATCACTGCATATTCCGCCAATATAACTCTAGAATTACATTGGTACTATGTGTTGGTTTATTTTCTTATTTTTATTAATTTATTTGATGGGCTCCAGTTGCTGTCAAATTGCCAACATCACTAACTGGCAGTGTACCAAGGCACTCAGGTTCACATACAAGGTTAATGAGAACCAACTCGACCAAGTTCTTAAAGCATTTTCAAATATGAAAACCATATGGAACTGTGGTAAATATACTCCCAATGAAAATGTTATCAAGTAAAACAACTAACCTTATCTACCAAGAACTTCAATATTTTAATATAGAACAAACAGAGTAAATTACGAATGGAAAACGAAGAAAAAAGTTGTAGAAAAAACAGTAAAACCTTGAACCAAAATGGAAAATCAAGCACCATCCCGTGCTGATAAGAATATTGCTTTAGTCCTTTGGAGCGTTAACAGTCACTTCCTTGTAACAAATTGGGCAAGCCTGTTTTATGACAAATGGTTAGCAATTTTACTGTTAAAGCACTTCTTGAGAAAGTTGTCAAAGCAATTTGCTTACTTTGTTAATACTGAGCCATTTGCTTCCACAACCTGCATGGTAGACATGTTTGCAAGGAAGAATCATCTGCCTATCATTTCGTTTGTACTCCATCTGGCAGATTACGCACCTATTAGGTAAAAGAAAATATGTGGTTAAACACTGTGAAGCTGAAAATAATTCTGGAAAGGATGAAAAAAAATTCTGAAGATGCGTGGGACAATGCATTCGTCAGCAATAAGCCTCGATCCCAGGACTAATATTTGTGATACGGAACAATTAAACAAAATGCTCGTTAATTATTCCTGATGTTTAAGTTTGTCCTAGGGAATCTCATGTTTTTTCACATTATCCTACATTAACATGGGTCTACGCTATGATCATGAACTTAGGATTTTATAGGTTGTGCCTAAAGTAAAAATCAACTGATAATTAGCATTCTGTTTCATTTAACCACCCAAATTTAGAAATAAACAAAGGGCTTACTCCAACTAGTTCCAGGCTTGTTCCAATGAGTCCTAAAAGATTATTCCAGGGTTGGGGAGATTTATTAGGTTTTGACTAAGGATGTGAATAAGACCACCAATCAGTTCAGCTGATAAAGTTCCAAATCTATGTACAAAAGAACCAATGAGGTAGATAGATAAACAAATGCATACTCTGCAAAAATATATAAGCAGTTAATGAAAGCAGAGATTATTGACTTTCTGAAACTCCTAACCCAATGATGCAGTGATGGACATGAATTACAAAAATGCTAAGGGAGACTAAATAAAATTGAATCTAGAATAATAGATTATATATACATTTGCATGATTATGGTACACGAACAAGAAGTCTCCATTAGTTCAGCAAAACCCCCTGCAATCCATATATGATCTAACAAATTAACCACCACTGTTTGCATACAAATATTTGAAGTTGGCAAAGAAAGATGATTCCAAGACGAAGAAGCTAATATTTCACAGCCTACCCAACTTACAGCGGGTCTTCATGTCAGTTGGGGTAGGCATAAATAGGCAATGATAAAAAATTGGGCACAAATAATAGGTCAAAAATACAGATTTATCTTGAAGATATTGCATTGAACCTAATATCGAAAAAAAATGATGAATGTTAACAGCACTAACGTTAGTTGGGGACAAACAGTATGGCTTTATCTTACCTTTCAGCTCTGAATCTCTTTCTGGAGAATAAACCACACTTGAATTTTGATATTGGGAGCAACACAATAAGTTCTTGAGAAAGACCCCTGCATTGATTTCCAACTGCTTCACCCAACTCAAGTAACTCCTATAAGGAAATGAAATAAAACTATATGTTTTAGGAAATCACAAATTTATCCATTTTTCTGCACTAAGATAAATTCACTGTCCATGGGTTTCATGAATTCAGGGTTGAGATTGGATAGATTAGGAGCAACTAGAAAGCCAGGGCAACATGAAAATTGTTGGCAATATGCCATGCATTTAAATACAAGAATATTCAAGAGGAGAACATAAAAATAAATTATGGTGATTATCACATGTTGACATAGATAGGAACCACAGTATAAAAATAATATAACCCAAGGGGATGACTGTTAAGAAAAAAATCCCAACAAGAAATTGTCCACTGAAAGGAGCAGCATACGTACTAAAATGCTATAAAAATGGGCAATGCTATCACAATGATAAAACAATGGGCAACAAAATGAACTGAAATTTTACGCCACAAGAGAAATTCATTACCATTTGGCGACCAATGATATTTCCCAAATGGAAGCTACCTCAGGTGGCTCCTCAAGATCACTTCTCTGAATGTCATGACATATTAACTGTAAAAACATTTCCCCCTTACTTTTGTCCAACTACCCATGGCAGCCCTATTGTTTGTCAAGCTTACAACTCTGCCCCATCATAGTGGGAATAGTACCTATTAAGCCTGAGTATTTTGGTTCAGCTTTGCAACCAAAGCTGCCAAATTTTCAAGGATTCTCTCCATCTATTCTCTACTGTTTACTTCTTTGAAGTAAATTTTATTTGCATTCTCTGGATTTATGTACTTTGTTTCTGTAGAGTTGATAGTGTAAAGTAGATTCTTATATTTTCCTCCTAAAATGTGTCATCCTATGAAGTTAAAGAAAAGAAAAAAGTGATAGCCAATAGACGTTTCCAAAAATTTAAGAAGCAGGGTACCATGCCAAGATTGATTTGGGCTCTTTGCAAACTATGTTTTGACTGACATTTTTCCATTGGAGCACGTATTATCAGGCTGCAAATATTTAATCAATTATTCTTATTGATATCAAGTTCTGGGTCACGTCTGATTGTCTAGAGTCCACCTGTGATCCACCTAGCCAGCCTGGATCTGCAGTCTATACGATGGGGATAGCATTCCTGCAGTTTTACAGGACTTTCATTTGACTATTGCACAACCACCAAAGTTTGGCAGTGACAGTCTCCTCTTTAAGTTATACTCTTTTTTTCATTTTTTTTCCCTATCATAGATATTTTTATACATGACAGCTTAGGTGCTATTTAGGGTATATGTATGTTGAGTATGGAAACAAATAGTCATGGAGTGTTCTTGATAGTTACGTATATCAAACGTTTCAAATATTTACATTTGTACTACAAATGTCCAGGTAACAAAGTGCAGTAGTAGAAATATCCCTAATTTAGTATTTATTGCATACAAACCCTTGAAATATCACAACATAATCTTCTAAAGCCATGATTTGACCACGGTTACTGGACATCTTTTTAGCTAAGCTTCTGTCGGAGTTCTCCTAGTCCACATCTTCATATTGCGAAAGTCCATACCTGATTCCAATGTAGGAATTGGATGTTAACTAACTGCTAACAATGTTTTTCTAACTTCTTAGGCGGCATATAATTTATTGACATTCAAATGCTTTCAGCAGAGAACCATTACTCCATACATCTCCTTGATTAACAAAATTAGAATTATAAAGATAATGGTCTTACTTAAGATCAAAAAAATGAATGGTAAAAATTTCATTAGAAAATGACTCGATACAGGTAATCTAAGATGCATGGTTGACATTTCTAACCTCATAAGTCATGTTGTCAGGGTTAATGTTGTCTTGCCAAACAGCCTGCATCAATTCACAGAAGGTGAGTGAACAAATTTCTTACTATACGTGCTTCTTCAAGTTGTGAAAGGAATTATAAATATGAAAAGTTCAACATTAATATAACAAAGAAGGATGTAACCACACACCTCATAATCACGAGTATTCTGAAGATTCCGAGGGCCTGGGGAATTCCAAAGAACAGAGATCACTTTATATTTTATACTTGTACACAATAATTTCTGAGATGCAACCACACCGGTAGATTGAAATGCATGTAAGATCATCAATGAAAAGATACATAACACCCATGAGCTAGGGGCTAAATGAACCAAAATCAATTTTCTTTCTTCAACATAGATTCACAGCAAAAGCATTCATTATTTTCTTTCCCTACTCTCCAAATGATAAAGCAGGGGTTCATTTCACATTCTCTCCAACATATTACTAAGTCGAAAAATAAAATAAAATAGAAAATAGCATTTACCAGGGTTAGCATTATCTGTAAAACTACATAACCACAAATTACAAGCTAAGAACAACCACAAAGGATGGGTCTGATAATGGAATTTCATATTCAAGAGCAAGACGACGATAGTCATGTTGCATGAAAGAAAAAAGAGAGGGGAGGAAGAAAAGTAAACTTGGGACAGAATTTTCACATGATGAAAAAGTACTATTGTGCAAACAATTGCTTTACTTCATATAGTAAAAGCTATATATCAGCATAATGGAAACTGAAATTGAATCTCACACTCCAAAGGATCAGCATGTGAAGTGGAGCTCAAATGTCCTTCCTGATCAACATGTGAAACTGTAGCCTGATCATCAGCCACTGATGAAGGGCTTTCCAAATGCTTATTATATTCATCGATTCCAGTCATTTGATCATTTACCACATAACCAGGCCAATATTCATAGCATGAGAAACTTCCAGGTTCAGAAACCGCATATTTGTACAAATTAGTATTCGCTGCTGCATAAGAACTCTCCTGCACATATTTGAAGAATTCACGTATCTTGTTCTAACCACCATAAAGATAAGCAGGAAATAAAAGGTACAGACATTCTTCTCCAAATTCAAGTCCAAGATAGTAACCTTGAGATTCTAATCAAAACATTTTGAAAATCTAGAGAACAATGATATGCCAACAGATAAGGGCAGAAACTTTATTATTCCATAATCAAATTCGTGCAGGGCCCTGGCAGGGATTTGAAAGCCAAAAACTGCTTATAAGACTAAGAAGGTGCTTTTGAACATTTTTGGATAATTTTCTGAAAGTGTTACAAGAAGCATAAACCCTGCTAAACGGGCCCTAAATCTATGTTGAAGGCTTGTAGATAAGCCAACACAATAAATGGTTAACTTTCTTAAATGTTGTTTGAAATCACAAAAATGCTCAATAACCGTTAAAGCTAAGACTAATTCACTATTTGGGCCAATTTTGAACAAGCTTCTGATGAAACAAATCTGGATTTTCATTTTTTTTATTTTTGGTTAGTAAAACAAGCTCAAGCCAAATTCGAAAAATTTTGAGCATATAAAAGACGTCAATTTCTGCAAAATGAGTGATCAAACTCAAATTTTAAACCGCCAAAGAAAGGAAGTCAAAACATATTTTGTTGAATGTACTTCCAAAGGGAACAGCTCGAACAATTTTAATAGTGTACCTGAACAAAAGGAGCATCAGCAAAAATGAAATTTCCATGATCATAGTTAAGACCTCCAAAAAAATCCACAAAGCCTCCCATCGAATTAGATGGCATGGCATGGTTCGGATAATGAACTTCCATCTGTGAGCTCCAGCTCATTTTTGAGAAAAAAAGATTCTGATGCACCAATAAAGCAGGAATAAACTTACGAAACATTGTAACTCGTGGTTATTGAAAGAAGTATGTATATCTACTGTAAATTTCCATTTACAGTAGATATATGCAACCAAAGTTCAATTTTGAGAAAATCTGAATTGTCTCAATTGTAATATTTCAATTTTACTACAGCAAGTCCTGTAATGAAATCATCAACAATCAATTTTCCCGTAAAAGAGTTCCAAAATGTTTGCAATGCATATCTTAATTAGGTAATAACGTATTTTACGAAATAACTACACCATTTATTTCAAATTTAGAAAGAGAAACAAAAAAGGCAGTTTCACTCAGATGGGTCAATATTTAGATTTCTCCTGTAAAATTTTAAAAAATAAAATAAAAATAGAATATGAAGAAAATGATAGCTCGACAAACCCGAAAAGAATTAAGAAAAACAAATATCGTGAACAATGAAAACAAAGGCATTGACATAATTTTCCGATTCTGTTTCCAAATAATTCATTATAGTGCTATCAAAACGATAGAGAGATTCTACTGAGTATTTCGGTTTCCATCAAATTTCAACACCGAGAAGAAATTAAAATCAATACCACCTTTTTGTCAGCGATAAAACGAACAGCTAATCTCCGAACACAATACAAGACGAGGAAAAACAAGTCAATCGAACAACCAACGAAAAGAAACAAAAAAAGTAAAAAATAAAAAATAAAACGATTCTAGTGCTAGAGATTATATTTAATGCAAAGAACCAGATTCTCGAAGAAAAAGAGAGATTAAAGAACCGACATTGATCGCTTTTTGAACGTCAGTCTTCAGCTGATCAAAGCAAGATCCCTGTCCATCTCTATCTCCGTGTAAAGGTCATGAAAAATGAGAGGTTACTGTTTTAATAGTTTGTCTGCGTTTAATGGATGGACAAAAATACAGAACATCAGGATAGGGAGAGGTGATAGAAAAGGACAACGCACATTGCACCAGGTACAACATTTGCAACCTCCTCCTATTATAATAATCAAATAAAGCGTTCCAGGACACATCTCCAAGTAATAAAAGAGGAGGGTGGGGAATCCAACTATGCTTGAGATTGTCGCTTCAAGGGTTCGAATCCTAAAATATGGATTTGGCTCTTGGGTAAGTGTAAGTGTACAAGCAGCCTTCCACCCTATACCCTTAGAGGCATAACCTGCGATTTACCTTCATCACGATGCTCCAGAGCAAGGACTGTAAGGGACCCTGAAGGTTGGGGTTCAACTTTTTTTTTTTAATCAAATAAAGCTCTCGGGATATAATTAAGCGGTGCAAAGGACAGTGGGCCCTCAAAGTTGGGGTCCAATTTTTTTTTTTCAAATAAGAAAAAAGTCATCAGAATTTTTTTCACAAAATCTTTAATCAGTACCTAATTGGCAGCTTCAATGAGAAAATGACAATCGTATATCCATCAGTACGTTTGGCTTAACTCATCGAATAAAATAAAACACAAAAAAATGAGAAATGTAATTATTGTTAATCATGAATTTTATGAACTTTTCTTTAACTTCGATAAGAATTTTTTTTTTTTCAAAACACTATTCTATTCTTAATTTCAAATAATAAATAAATAAAATAAAAAATCGTTCTATACGTCTTTTGCCATCGTCACCATGTCACTGCTAGACTTGGGAGGATACAAGAGCAAAGAGGTGCAAACTGCAAACATGAAACCTAGGGAGTGGGCCATTAACTTAGAATTGAAAGTGTCGAAGTAATCAACATGAGACACGAACGCGATAAGGAGCCTTGTTGGGGGTGGGGATTCATGGGGACAAGTGTGCGGAAATGAGTGCAAGGACAATGATACAAATATGGGAGTGGGGTTAGGGATTGGTCGGGGATGTTTTTCTTTTCTTTTCTTATTTCGTCTCCTTTTCTATTGCCCGCCCTTTTGTTATTTATGTTTACGCATTTCACAATTGCCTCATAAAATTTGACACGTGAGAGTCACGTGGCAATGTAAAATAAACAGAATTTGTCGATTTACACTATTGGGACTTGCTACATAAAGTATCAACTAGGGACCAATAAGAAACAATATTCCCATATCTATAGTGTCTGGGGGAGTGTCCTGGTTATCCAATCCATCACGGGATGCAAAGGTTACTTCCATTCTTTCTGCACAAAAGGATGAGAGATAAGGCAGTTTTTTGTTCCTTCATTTTTACGTTTCTATCCACAGTTCCCTTTTAGCAATTCAAAGGTTTATCATTCATGTAATGAAAAGAGAACAAAAACTGGCTTGCAATGCAAGGATTCATCCACCATTCCCTTTTCCTTTTTTCCTTTTTTGTCACCCCACATGACAAAGTTAATGGAATAGGCTATCATATTCATTATTTTTTTCAGGACCCACTTGTTGGTTTATTTATGGCATTTTTAAAGTATGCAAAACCCAAAAGATGTAACATATTTGGAGCTCCTTTGACGATATTTTGGAAAAAGTCAGAAGTTAATTATTAAGAAATTACTTTTGAGTCTATCTGAATAATTTTTTGAAAATACTTCCTTTTACTAGAATAAAACTTTTAGAGGAAATTAATCTAAAGTAACTTCAAGCTCTTCTATAAAAAGGAGAAGTAAAAATAGAATTAACGTATTGATTTACAAATAATCAATACTATATAACTTTATAGATGTGTGATCTACAATTAAAGAATTAAATATTGCTCTACAGCTGTTAGGATTCTTTTGAAAAATGTCTTCAAGCTCCAACTATTTGAATTTCCTTGCTTGATAATTATCCTTTGGACACTATTTATTTGCTTTTCCTGTACATTTCTTCATTTTCAACTATTGCACTTATCTATCCATCATTATCTAAGTAGGCTTTCTCTAAGTCTGCATCCATCTTATTAGTTTTGCCATCGAATATGTATTCTTCTTCCTCTATATTTGACTGTCCTTCTGATAATTTATCATTTGTTTTGTGAAAAAGCCATTTTATATAGCCCTTTTTGTTCAATATTTGGTACTAAAACTTTTTATGTTTTAATTCTTATAGGGAGATGTTCTTTGACAGAAAATAACTCCATCGTCCCATTGTGCTACAAGTCTGGAATCATTATTTTGAACTTTCACCATTGACACGATTTCTGAGATCCGTCTTTTGTAATCAATTTTGTCTAATCTTTATTTTGGTATTGGTCTTTCAAGAACATCTAAATCTTTTGGCTCCTTCGTAAATTAAAATATGATAATAAGCTGAAATTATTATACCATTATTTAAAAGAGGCGGTATAGAAATGAATTGGATCATTAAAGGGTGATCTTTTAACTGACTAAAAATATGTTTAAGTTTCGGTGGAAAAATCTAAAAGATCTATTCAAAACGTATAGTGTCTATCATATCAAACTGTAGGGTTGGATAAAAAATGTTTTCTTCTTCAAAGATGGTATAGTAAAAAAAAATTGTATGATAATCATGTTTAAGAAAAGCTGAATTTTTAGTAGATGGGATTCATGTTTAGGATCATTTTTAAGGAAATATCGATTTTCGTTGTGATAATAGCTTAAAATTTGAGAAAAATCGATGATCTATTGTACAACTGACTCCTTTATGGAATTTCGAACAGTACTGTCACAATAGCCAATTTTCATGCTAATTCATATAAAGTCTTTTCTTGCCATACAACTAGAGAATCTATTAATTCAATAAATCTTTTTATTTTATCTGAATAATTTCTACTTGCAGATGTAATGTCTTTGGAGATAATTTTTCAACAATATCTCTAGAATTTAGTCTTCTTAAACTGTCTTGTCACTGAAAAATTTTATGTTGATATTTACTAATAGCCTGTTGAGATGAAGAGACTTCATCTTCATGGATTTGTAGTCATTCTTCTAATGAGTGATTTCTAAGATTTAAATTTCTCACAACATTGGTCATGATTTCACAACCATCACAAAGTTGTATTGATGAAAATGAAGATGATACTTGAGAAGTAGCGATTTGCATAATCATAGTTTGTCTAACCTTTTTAGATATATAAAAGTTAAATCCTATTATTTCTCTAAAAAAATTTAAAACTTCTTCTGATTGGTAAAATCCTTTGAAAAGGGGGGTCTAAAAATCTTTCTACTTATTACAATACTTCCGAGCAATAACTATATATACAAGCTTTCTACCCTAGATAACTATAAATAAAATAAACTTTCTGCTTTTACTTGATTATGAATCTATCTAAAATGATTAGCTAAAACATTAATACTACCTAATTTCTGTTTAAACTTACATGACATTCAAAGATTATCTAGTAGACAACACTACTATTCTGGAAGTCTTTTTAAATTATTTTATCTAAATATGAGATTAAATCCTTGTAGGGCAACTCGTAGAGTGACATTCCGAAAGTTCATAATCTTTTTATCCATCTACAGCATGAAGATGATGGGTTAGAACATTAATAACTTGTCAGCTAAAATTATTTGTCTGAATATTATTTTTTCTGTCTCCAAAAGGCATGACTAACCATTCAAAATATCATCGTGGTGTAATAAAAATTGTCCAAGGAATAAAATCTTTTGCCATTTTTATTTGCCAAAATCCAAATTTACAGACAAATTTTAAAAATATTTTACCATTTTGTATTTTATTTGTTAACATGTCTTCATCTGGTAGTGTGTCCTGTTGGATTTTATGCGTAATAATAAAGAGATGAAATAGAAAAATCAACACAAAAATTTATGTGGTTCGACTGTGTTCCTACGTCTACGAGAGCGAAGCGAAGATAATTTTATTTAGTGGTGAAAAATAGAGTTACAAAATATTATTTATACTAACCCTAATCTGGGCTCATATAAGACTTTAAGGCCCGTATAAGAAAATATCCTTGTATTGTACTGTGAGGGCGTTGCCGTGTACCCCCAACTCACTTAACGTCCCTAACAACCAAATAGTGAATTAAATCTGCGCAAGGTTGATGTCGTCGCTCTACACCATTCCGTTTAGTGTGCTTTTGACACGATCCGTCCCAAATCACCCTAATGGACCCTACACGTGTCGTGCGCCAATGAGGGATACCAACTAAATGCTGGACCCACCATCAAGGTAACTATGATTTGCTTTGACTGTGACATAATTTTATAAAAAATTGACAGAGTTTCCTCTAAAATATAGACTAAAATCACCTTAAAATTTATAAACTTTCTCAAATCAATACATATAATTTAAAACAAGGTACATCAGCCCTTACAAACACAACTATTCAAAATAAAATGCGTTGGAATGGAATTTACACTTCTTTACAAACCAAAGGACTCCAAATGTATTATTTATACAAAATAATGCAGTGAGCCCGTGATATAAACTAACAAAAGATGCATCTACCCCAAAATTTATGAACTATAAAAATTGATAAAAAGAAACATACAAATAACAGCTAAGTGGCTCAATTCGGTAATTCAACAGGCTCCGATGCGACTCAACACAGCTACTGTCTGATAAGAAAAATGGAGATGAAATATATGAACTTGTAACTCAATGAGTGGATACTTTTGTAAACAAATATACTATTTTCATTTATGTTAATTTTCTAAAAACTGGTTTATAATAAAAATATTATTCACAGTACTTCAAGCTAAATCTTTATTCTTTAAACTGAATGAGTTAAATTATATATTCTGAAATCTAATAAGTTGTATAATACTGAAAAATCACACCAAAAAGTTATTCGGAATAACTATACTCATGTATCGATTTGCACCGATAAACACGACAAAATAATTCAATTATGAAATTCTTTAATTCTGAAATTCTAGTCATACGCGCGCAGAGAGATCTGGTCATACACCATGGAAACACATTCACAATAGTACAGAGCGGGTAAAATTATCATAACTAGTCATATACTGTGGAAACACATTCACACTAGTACGGAGTAGGTAAAATCACCTGAGTACTTTCTAGTGATTTTTAGAAAATAACTTTAAATATGCTATACTATTTAATACTGAAATTATATGTCAATAAAATGATTTAACTTAACTGAATTTAACTTGAAAAACAAATGTTTATAAATCAACTTTATTCTGAAAATCGTGCTGTCAAATCAACTGTATGAATTAATAAATTTTCTGATTTAATATAATTTTTATAAATACTAATTTCTGAAAAATAAGTTTATATCCACTCACACAATACGAGCTACAGACAAGGCCGGTCGGTAAACTTTTCCAATTTTTTTGTCACCACCTGAAATACATTACAAAATAACTAATTTAACCACTATTAAAATCAAGAAACATTTTATCTCTAATGATATGATAATTAAAATAAATTTTCCGAGACTTGCGAAATTTTCCTAAATTTCCTTTAATCAATTTGTAATAATTCTTACTTTCCAATACGTTCACAACTACGCCATATATCCAAATTTACCTTCATCCCAAACATAAAAACAATTTCTTCTTCTATTCTTGTGTAACTTGAATTCACTCTTGCACCAATTTAATTTACATCTTGTTCATTATATTAATCCTTTCAAGTGTGTATTTCATCAAAACTATAATTTCCACTAATTATACATATTCAAGAACTCAATTAAAAACTCTAGGGTTTACCAAAATTAATATTTCTTACCTTGATATAAAAATCTTTCATTAATCAAAAAGGCCGGCTTAAAATCATACTCTTCCCATTAATCTGAAAATTAAACCATCAAATTAACCCAACTACTTAGAAACCTAGAAAGTTTAATATAAATTATACCATAAAACATTTACCTCTTCTCCTCTTTGAGAAATGAAGAATTGAATAATGGAACTCAAGTTTTCTTCCTCTCCCCCTTTTTTCCTTCATTTTTCTCTTTTCTTTTCTCCTCCTTTTCTTTCTCTTTCTCAATTTTTTTGGCTTCTGGATACTGCCGTCCAAGTCTTTCCCTCGTGTGTATATATCACAAAACAAATGAGACATTAGTTAATAACTTGCCATTTGTCCTCCAATAACCTAATTTTGCAATCAAGTCCTTTCTTTTATGTTTTGTATAAATTCTAGTCATTAATCTTTCCATACTTATAAACTAAATCCCCCAAGTTTAAATGATGGCCATTTTAAATCCTTAAGTAATATCAATAACAAAATAAATCCCAATACAATAATTTGATCAATTAAATCCCAATCAAATTATTTATTTCATTTAAGTCCCTAGTTGACCTTGACTTTGAAAATTCAACTCTTGACTTTTGACTAAATAATATGGGTTGTAACAGCTTCACTCTGACATCAACCTATTTGATTGAGGAAACATATATTCCACTCTATATGAGTCACATACACAACACCTCCTGTACATAAACTTTCCTCCAAGAACATCCTCGACCAGTTGAATCTTGAATCCAAAGTTCTTCCCTCCTCCCTATAAAACCCGAGTTCTCGTTCCAAACCTTTCCATTAGTAAAGACTTCCTTCTTCCATTCTTGAACTGAAGCCGTCATATAATAAACTTACAAGCATCTAGTCCATCTACTCGATGAAATGAAGAGACTGCAAGGAACACACTTGTGTCCAAAGGGAAACTTCGCCTAAGCGGTGAGCCGCTACAATTGAATTGAGATTCCACGATATTGATTAGTGTAGCCTATGAAATAGAGATAACAGACAAGTAATGCTATAAATGCTTCAAGTAATTACCTCATTGTTCCTTTGCCTTCTTTCATGCCAAAAATCGCTCTTGAGCTGCAGCCACTGCATCCTCACTTTTTTTTTATGATAATTGGGTCTCTGTTCATCCGTGGGTGATGGACTGTCTATAGCTTGATCTTGTACGGAAGCATCAGAAATAGGCTTCGCAAATCCAATTTCGAAGTTTTCCACAAAAGACTCCATGTATTGCCTCTTTATCAGCCTAGATGATTCTGAACATGTATTGGTGGCTGGAAGTACATTTTCTGATGCTTCTCGTGATAGAATAACTGTTTCTCCTTGTTTCTCTTCTGGCTTCCCCGAGTCAACCGCTCCACTAGGGATGGCAGTGGGGTGGGTTTGGGGTGCCCCGCCCCGCGACGCCCCACGTCCATCCCACCCGGGGTCGGGACGGGACGAGGTCAGGCCCCATTTGTCGCTCCGTTTAATTTTCTTTTTTCTTACTTTTTTAAATTTCAAATTATGTTATTATTAGAGAATAAAATATAAATTCAAAATTTTAAAATTCAAAGTAAACACTTGCAATAAACAATNCCCCGCCCTACCAACCCAACGGGACAAGTTTTTTTACCCCATTCGGGGCGGGACGGGTTTTTTTGCCATCACTACACTCCACCACCACTGGCGAATCCAGCTCTTGGCAAGCCCCCGACCGCACGTGCTAGATTGGTCAGGAGCCTTTTTTTTGGCTGAGGATAAACAAATATATAGGATATATTACTGGTAAGTCATTATTCTTTCAACCATTCCATTTAGCCAACTTGGTTAGCGCTTGCATGTGTTTCTTGGATGTCTCGGGTCCAAAACTTTTTGTCCATCAATTTATTGTATGAATTTTTAGTTATACGATTTTTACCAAAAACCATTGAACTAAAGAAAGTTTGACCATTATGACACTTGATAGGTTGTGATACAAAATTTAAAAATAATAATATATGTAAGATTCAAGTGGTTTTAACGCAATTATAAAAATTATAACACCGAGCTCTTCCTTTGAATTATACAAAGCAATAATGTTATTTGGTGAGTACGATTTATTCTTATAACAAAATAATATATGTTTACAAAATAATTATTTTATTTAAATTTTAAGCCTTGTTTGATTCTCTCTTAGTTCAGAATACATTTTTCTTTCTCTTATTTTTAATCAAACATTCTTTAATAAAATAATATTACACGCAAATTCAATTTTTTTTTAACTTCACATTCTCCATCAAATCACTATTCCAAAAAGCATTTTTTTGCAAAAAAAAAATGACATCAACGAGCCCTTAATATTTTATTACAGCCGTCCATGCTGGCTCAACATCCTGGATTCATTCCTGTTCACCACTAAAAGCTCCAAGGTTGAAGTAGAAGTCACTAATGTCACTCTTATGTGTCACCTATTACATGTAAAAAGAAATTGTTAAATTATTGTCTGAGACATACGAATCGATTTAGAGGGCGTTTGATACTTATTTTTATGTAAAAATGCATTTTAAAATAGTAAATTGATGAAAAATGTGTGGTTGAAAAATAAAGAAAAGGTTTTTATTTACGTGTAATATTATTTTAATAAAAAATGTGTGGTTGAAAAGAAGTTAAAAAAATATATATTTAAAAAAAATAGGTATCAAATGGGGCCTTAGATTTATTAATTGATACACACAACTAAGAGCAATATTTGTCATCCAACAAACTATAAAAAAGAAAACAAACAAAAAAAGGCAAAAAGAAAAATATATTCAAAAAGCGAAGGATAGCAATATGAAAGGAAAAAATTAATAATAATAAACAAGAGTATTTTGCACTTAAATTGAAGTGAATTTCTAATTGATGTGGGAATATTAGTCATTGAACTGCTTCCACTAAGCAATAGAAGTCCAGAGAGACATAGAAAAGCATATCCCATTAGACAAGTTCAATATACATGTAAAAACAAATTGTACAAATTATTGTCCGAGACGTACGAATCAATTTAGATTTATTAAATAATACACAGAACTAAGAGCAACATTTGTCATCCAACAGACCATAAGAAAGAAAATAAACAAAAATGGCAAAATGAAAAAAATATTCAATGCTTGTTTGGTACCGATTTTAGGTCAATTAAAATCAATTTTTTTACTATTATTTCACTATTCAAATCGTCATTTTTAAATTATTCTCTCACAAATAGGCTCACTTTATCTCCAACGGTCAATAAATCAATTATCAAAATCTTTACCAAATAAACTCTCAAAAAGCAAATGATAGCAATATGAAGGAGAAAAAAAATAAAGCAAGTATTTTGCACTTCAATTTAAGTGAACTTCTAATTGATGTGGGAATATTAGTCGTTGAACCACTTCCGCTAAGCAATAAAAGTCGAGATAGACATTGAAAAGCTAATCCCCATTAGACAAGTTCAATATACTTCGAAAGCATGTGAAGACAAATACAAGCATAATTTTATATATCAAGATAATAATTATCAGAAGACATGGATAATCAAAACGAAAGTTAATATATAGACATGCATTATACACCATTTCCTTATAGGTAGAAAATCCTGGAACTCTGTTTAGAAGCACAAATGAGCTGATTCCATACGAAGATAAGACCACTTACTAGCTCATTCAGGTGCAATCTCCCCCCTTCCCAAAATATCAACCAATTGCATATAAGAAGAGTATAAACATGCTGCAGTATGTACACACATATGTATATGTATATAGCTAATTTGTATACACTTGAAAAGTAAGTAGATACGCAGTAAAAGAAGAATAAATCTCAACCTAAAATAAGCTTGACTTACATCATCTTTCTCCTCTCTCAGTTCACGAAGTCGTTCTTCATCCAGCCACTTGACTTGTGATGGGAATCTAAAGAGAAGACTGATTTTGGGAAAATATGGATTGCATTTAATTGTCGAAAAACATATGAACGATTACAGAACCTCCTTCCTTACTCTAATTTTGCCTGCTTTTCAAGGCTATTCCCTACCTTTATTTATAGCCTACTTCTAACAACTTTCTCTAACAGAATTTCCTCCCTAACAAACGTTAGTTTCCCTTCTCACCAGCTGGTAGCCCAACCTTCCTTGGCCTTCTAGAATATGTGAATTGGACGCGGGGAGGGAGGGGGGTCTATCATTACCCCCAGTTTCCAAAGGCACCTTGTTCTCAAGGTAGAAGTTGGGAAAGTGCTGGATGAGTGAGTTAACTGATTCCCAGGAAGCCTCTGACCTGGGCAAGTCCTTCCAAAGAATCAAGACTTCCTTTCCTGGGAGTCGTTCTGGTGGTGCTTGTCGTATTCCCAAGACTTGTGCAAGCTCCACTACCCACTCGATGTCGGAGCTGAGCTGAGGAGGGATTAGTGGATTGGCCATCCTTTGTCCCAACGCCTTCTTTAACTGTGAGATATGAAAAACAGGGTGTATTGATGAAGAGGGAGGAAGTTTCAACTGGTAGGCTACCTGTCCAATACGTTTCAGGACCTCAAATGGACCAAAATACTTAGGACCAAGTTTCTCATTTGGCTTGTTTGCGAATGAGCGAATGCAATAGGGTCGGAGCTTGTTGTAGATCAAATCCCCCTTAGCCAATTGAACATCACGATGATGCTTGTCCGCTGCTTCCTTCATTTTTTCTTGAGCATGGTTGAGATGGTTCTTTAGTTCTTCTGAAATGTTGTCTCTGTCTTGCAACTGTTGCTCTACCGACTGTATCACTGTGCTTTGTCGTCCATAGCGGATTAATGGTGGAGGATCTCTTCCATAGATTGCCCTGAATGGAGTTGTGTTTGTAGAAGCATGAAAAGTTGTATTGTACTAGTATTCTGCCCAGGGTACCCAAATAGACCAATTTCGAGGCTTGTCGAAAGAGAAACAGTGGAGATACGTTTCCAAACACCTATTAATTACCTCCGTCTGTCTAAGGGTGATATGCCGTACTTCATCGGAGATATGTTCCCTGCAGGTGGAAATTTTCAGTCCAGAAGTGACTCATGAAGATTTTGTCTCGATCTGAAACGATAAAATTGGGAATGCCATGGAGCCGAACTACTTCTTTAATAAAAAAGACATGCAACCCCTGATGCTGTGAAAGGATGCTTGAGTGGTAGAAAGTGAGCATATTTACTTAGTCTGTCAACCACTACCAACAAGGAATCGAACCCCTTAGATTTCGGCAATCCTTCGATAAAGTCCATTGATATGTCTTCCCAAACCTATTGAG